AAAGTCACAAACTATTATTTGTCCTCGCGAAAGATGAATCGCTAAAATTTGGAATATATCAAGATCTGTATAAAACATGTAATAGCATGTGTTTGCTTGACTATTTCACCTTGGTTATTGGATATATAGCTATACCAATATATTATTTATTATTAATAATAATTATTTATCTTTATAGGCGAGGAAAGTGTATCCATTGATATCGGTAATGCTAACCTGGACACTTCAAACACCAATAAACCAGTCAAAATCCAGATCGGTGACAGTCTAACTGTGTTATCAGGAACCGATGTTACCATTGATTGTCCCGTAACAGGGATCCCGGCTCCGTACGTCTTGTGGAGACGTAAAGGCGAACGTATCGAGTCCGGCGATAGAAAGGGACAGTTTGTTATTGAGAATCAGAACACTGTTTTGAAGATTTTCCAGGTTGAAGAGGAAGTGTCTGGTCAGTATGAGTGTATTGGTACTAATCTTGGTGGTGCCGACAGAGCTTCGTCTACAATTACTGTTGTAGGTAAGAGACASGTAACGCAATGTAACGTTTCCGTTAGATACTTCTGCGATAAGGTGTGAATAGTCGACATTAGATGTTTCTATAAAGGAATTGTAGACGAGTCTACAGGGAAACAATAGATCGTCTTAAAGTATTCTTTTATTTACAATTATTTTGTGCATGGTCACTGAACAAAAATATTTTAAGTAGTCTATTTTTAATATTTTTTATTGTATAAATGTTGTTTCGTGACTGAAGCTCTAGATTCCTGTTTTGTCAACAACTTTCAGCTGCAGTTACGCCAACCATCGACCAAGTATCCTCACGAATTGAAAAACTTGACGATTTGTCACCGATTACGTCATCTGTTGGAGCGTCTATATTCATGCTAGCAGGTGCACCCCTCACCCTGACCTGTCAAGCCAAGGGGGTGCCACKCCCTWCATATAMCTGGAGCTTYAATGGTAAACCAATCACAGGAGAGCAGTTCTCTGTGATTGACAACTCTTTAGTTGTCAATCAAACTAAACCAAGTGATTCAGGACGGTATTTCTGCACAGCGGTGAACGTGGTAGGGAAGGATCAACGTTTCTCCGATGTCAAGATTACTGGTAAGTAGAACTGACTGGATTTTKAWTATATGTTCATAGACATTCGGCTTCGTAGCACACTCTACGTTTACGCGGCATTAGCGACGGAGAACTCTACGTTTACGCGATATGAAGGACGGAGAAGAACGCTGATAAGCTGCGAGAACGCAGTGGGAAGTATCGCAAGCGAATTGTCCAATCAACACCAAGAAGAATCACTATTCTAACGTATTGCAGCTTCTCAATGGCGATCTTTGTGTTGTCATTAATTCCCTTGAGTCATCAGAAAACAATGCATGTTTATCGAAAACAGAATCTCACATTTGCTGAGTTCAATGCACACTAATTATAATCCTTAACTCGCTTGTACTGACACATTTATATTTGTATGCAATGACGACGTGTTTTTCTTCGTTTGTTATTTCTTTCAGCTCCAACTAAGCCTCAAATCCAGGGCACTCCACGAAACATTGAAGTCCAGGTACAGGGTCCTATTGCTTCAGATGTTGGAAGTGTAATTCGAAGCGTGGAAGGAGCAAGTCTACAGTTGACATGTAACGCTTTRGGTCTGCCGAAGCCACTTGTTCAATGGAAGTTYGGAGAGATTGTATTCTCGGGACGTTTGTTAAAACTTACTGAGTTGAGTCCTGGTGACTCGAAGAATTATACGTGCGAGGCTCGCAACTTGGCTGGTACTGTTCGAAAGACAACTTCTCTTATTGTACAAGGTATGCTTGACACTAATAATATTCTAGCCCTGAGCTAGACTTAACAGAAACTGACTTGAGATGGACTGCTCTATAGCTACTGCGCAAACTCCCATTGGTATAATCCATTCACTCCAAAAATTTGTAAAATACTGAGCTTAGTAATCTCAATGTCATTTTTTTGTTTTGTACGTAAAAAGTAGAGCCCCCTTAGAATGATATTACCCCTTTCCATGCTGTATTTACCCCCTGCCCTCCCCCACCTTTTTATTATTAAAACTGCTATGATTGATTTCAGCTATTCGTAAACCTTCCATCATTAAGTCAAAAGAAGCCTTATTACAATTGGATAGAATTCATCCAATCAGAGCAGTCATCGGACAGACTGTCACGGTCATCCGAGGAAGTGTCGTGACAATCGTGTGTAACGCAAGAGGTTACCCGCCACCAGCTATTACATGGACCAAGGAAAGAATTGCTTTGCAGAGCTTAAGGGACACAAGAGGATTCTCTGGAAAACGCTTCAACACAACTCTTTATGTATTAACCATTGATACTAACGTTAAAACTAAAGATTTTAATGGTCAATATGAGTGTCTTGCGAACAATATCGGTGGGATGGACGGTGCGACAACTAATCTAATTGTTAAAGGTAAATTGATGGATAATTCGCTAATTTTTGCAAATGTTTAGAATTAGTGTGGACTGTTCATTGAAAGAATCATTTCCGTTCTCTCATTCATTTGCACATTTGACCGTTCATCCATCCATCCATCTGTTTATTCATTGTTCATTTATTTCTCATTTCAGCGTGAGTTGTTGTTTTTTCCAAYAACAAATATATTTAATATTTCAATGTTTGGCTCTAAACAATAACAATGATTTGTTTTGTAGAACCAGCAAAGGCCGCTATCAGATCAACAACTCAAACAGGATCCCTTGGCCTCATCAAGTCCCTCTCATCACGTGACCCCCTTACTATAACAATTGGTGACAATGCAGAGCTCCTTACAAAAACAGTACTTACCATCAGGTGTCCTGTCGTCGGACTGCCAACGCCTCAGGTCACGTGGTTTGCTGGTCGTAGGAAGGTTATCAGTGGAAACAAGTACTTAGTAGGGAGGGGTGTGGATTTGACGATCGGCAGTAAATCGTTTCCAACGACTGAGTTCGATTCTTTGATATATGCGTGTGTTGCGTCTAATGTGTTAGGAAAAGACAGGGCTTATTCGAAGGTTCGCTTTATTGGTGAGTGCACGTGACACGACCCCCCTCCCCTCCCCCCTCCCTTTTCAAAGCCAAATTGATTGAAAAAATCACATAAATAGACRTCTGAATCATTATTGACTTCGTTTCTTTTTCAGAACCAAGGGCGCCAAAGATTTTAACAGTTTCAGGCAATTTYAACTTCCCCATCAATGCAACCTTCGTTCTTACCATTGGCAGTAGCGTGACAGCTGTCACGGGCAGCGTGATAACGATATTGTGTGACGTTGGTGGTCTTCCTGATCCAGAGATTGTATGGACTAAAGATGCTGTGATTATAGAGGCAAGCGGATCGCGTTTGATTATCAACGGGACTAAGAAATCAGACTCTGGTGTTTACGAATGTACAGCAACGAATCTTGGTGGATCGAGAAGGGAAAGATCTTCAGTGAAAATTGAAGGTGAGAGAGGAAGAGGATGAGAGAAAGAAGGTGAAAGAAGAGAAGGGATGGGGTACCATTCCCCCCGCAACCTTCAATGTTAATTATTGTAATAACACATATATACATGGTTATCAGTGCAAAAGGATTAACTGTTTTCAATTGTGACATTTTCATTTCAAGATATCAAGGAAATTACAGAAAAACCGAAGATTTTCAAATCTAATCAAACCCTTATTGCATCGGAAAACAAACCTTCCTTTACCTTTGTCATTGGAGGGAATATCACGATCTTGGAGGGTAAAGACCTTGTGCTGCAGTGTCCTACTGTTGGTTTGCCAAAGCCTAAGGTACATGGTGAAGTTATTGATAGGAAAAAGTGTAACATTAATAACAACACCTTAAATCATTACATGTATCTTAGGTGTCTTGGATCTTTAATAACACTCCAGTGGTCGAGTCAGATACTCTAACTGTGGACCCTTTAACGAAAGCCATCACAATACTAGAAATGACTCGTGAAGAGACCGGTATGTACGAGTGCATTTCTAAGAACGTCGCAGGACAAGACATTGCAGTTACCTACGCTATTGTTGTGGGTGAGTCTATCAGCAACTTGTGGCTTCAGCATTTTTTAGGAACCTTATGTATTACGGGCAACTCTTTTACAGGCAGGGGTTTTATTGATGTTGATGTTTATGAAATTAATTGATTCTTCCTATGGTCCAAACATTTCGTGTCCGTAAGACAGAGGAGTCTTTGATATGAAGGTGTCCGTGATATAAAAGTGTCCGGACTATAGAGGTGTACGTGATATATATAAGTGTCCGTACTATAGAGGTGTACGTAATATAGAGATGTATGTAATAAAGAGGTGTAAGATCCATTACTTGCCTGTATGCACTGTACTATTCCAGGTCCCAAGGCACCGAAAATAAAGACCACTTCAAATACATATTACCGTTTGAACCCTAATCGAAGTCCAGTCACAATCAACATTGGTGATTCATTGACCACGTTCAAGGGTACTCGTGTTACTATAAACTGTCCTTCTACTGGATTTCCTGATCCAAGAATACAATGGAATCAAAATGATAAAGCATTAACACCACAAATATCTATATTCTTGAACGGTTCCATGTTGATCTTAACCAACCCTGAGGTCGCTGATACTGGGAAATATACATGTCTCGTGACAAACCCTGGAGGATCGCAAAATGCGAGCTCTAAAGTCACTTTCTTGGGTAAGAGATTACTTATTTCTTTCAATGTAATCATTTCTTTGTACTTCCCTCCTTTCCCTCCCTCCCTTCTTTTCATTYTCATTTAATTCACACTTTGATTTTCAATCACGTCAATTCAATCCTTTCTTCGTACTTCACTCCCAACTTTTCGTTCCTCCTTCCTTCCCTCCCTTCTTTTCATTTTCATTTAGTTCACACTTTGATTTACATTCTCATTATGAATCTCTTCAGCTCCCAAGCCACCAAAAATCATCACACAGGGACGTAACATTGAATTCCTCAAACGTGGAATGGTAACTCTTCGTATCGGAAGCAATTTGAAAGTCCTTGCTGGAAACACTATTGAACTATTGTGTGACGCGACTGGAGTACCTAAACCTACCTTAACCTGGAAAAAAGACGTTAATGTCTTACGATGGGTGCGCCGTAGTCTTTTAGTGAACAATATACGAGTTAGGGATAGTGGGCAAGTTAGTTGTGAAGCAAATAATTACTTTGGTAAAGATATGAAGTCATCCGAAATCACTGTTATTGGTAAGAACTTGGGAACTTTACGTTGGACGCGCGCAATACCAGTATTACGTAACGTAAATTACGTTCTTATTACGTGTTGATTTATTAACCAATCTTTCCTAGGTTCACTAATTTGTTACTTTTTTCTTGTTAAGCCGGACGCAGACCATCGATCAAGTTTTCCAGACAATCAATCACCAAATTGTCAGGCTACGTTAACGTATCATCAAACGTTGGGTCGAAATTGAAACTCATCGAACGGTCCAACGTAGAAATACGGTGTACTGCCACAGGGATCCCAACACCGATGTACTCATGGAGTCATAATAACAAGGCGATTGTAAATGATAAGAGAATTTCTTATGATAATTCGACTGGAGTGTTGGTTATACAGGGCGTCAGGATGCAGGATGCGGGATTGTTCAGATGCGATGCTATGAATGCTCTTGGAAAGGATCAACGAGTCAGTCGCTTAGACGTCTTAGGTTAGTTAACAAATGTCGAGAATAACTGTCCATAAGTTTTTACCTAAATTACTTTTATTTTCTTTTGCTTGTAGCTATAAAAAATCCTATCATCGCCGAATCTAATAATCAAGTCAACAACACAACACTTACTACGATATTGGCTCAAATAGGAGACAATGTTACTGCCTTAGTGAACACYACTATTACAATCAACTGCCCTGTAACTGGATTTCCTATGCCTGTGACGTCATGGACCCGTAATGCCTTGCCTGCTAAAGGAGATCGCTTTACTATAAAAGGTTCTGCTTTAATTATCAGSAAAGCTCAGATCGCTGACCAAGGTATTTACATCTGCACAGCAAGTAATATTGGTGGGAAGGTCACGGCGAAGACTAGACTCATCTTGGATGGTAAGGGAATTGTTAAAATGAATGCTATTAGAGATGTAATGCATGCGATGCAACATTTTTCTAAGGGGGAGCAACGTCGATTTTTTTTGGGAGCGGGGGCGGTTAGGCTATGCAGTGTTGACTTTATCATCAAATTCTTGTAAAAAATTCAGAGAAACATTGTGTCGACTTTACTTCTTCATGTCGGCTAAAAAGAAGTAGTTTCCATTGACTCTTAGCGTTTTTATTATTGTTATTTTTAGCTGGAAATATGCCAACAATTTTAAGCAGTGATGATGTCATTTTCGACCAATCAAATTTTGTCCAGAGAACAGCTACTATCGGAAGTCCAATATCRTTGCTATCAGGATCAAGATTGAAGCTTCAATGTCCTGTCACCGGGCTTCCTGTGCCTAAAGTATCATGGAAGGTTGACGGTAGAGTGTTTGTTGGTGGACCTGGTGTTGTGATTGACAATGTCAATCATGTTCTAACAGTAAACAGACTGAACCGAGGGCACTCAAACCGCGTTGTCATGTGCACAGCGGCGAATACCCTGGGAGCTGTGAGCGCATCAAGTAGACTGACAGTTACAGGTAAGCAAAGACATCAAACCTCCATAAACAGGACACCCTCGCATAATACGAGCTTTTCGTTCAATAGAGGGTTTGATGATATAACCCTGATACTTGATACGATGACTTTTAATGCTTGTTCAGCTGTCACGATTCCTTGCACATTAATTGAAAAASTCGGTTTTAGATAAAATTAATTGAAACTAATTTAAATCAATATTTTTATTTTGATATTTGATTTGAAAGATATATGAGTTTAAAAATAGGCTTATCCTGTGCCGCTGATATCAGTTTCTGCTTACTGAAGTAAACTTGGAATCCAGCTTGGAAGCCAAAGTAAATAGAGGTGAAGTTTGCGCGATTATTATAGGATGACAAACTACTTAACTGCAGGAATATAAATGATTATCTATTTTGTGTGTTTACGGAAGAACACTCGTGTTAAAACAGTATTTATATAACTTAAAGTTTCCTTGTCTAATATAAACTTTATAATAGCATTGCAAATTAAAACTTTCGATTTCATTTCCGCACCTCGTACTCAACCTCTGTACTTAACCTCTATACTCTGCGTGAACACGAGTCGTGAACGATGAACGGGACGAATAATGATAGCACTTCAAGTGCGAATCAGTYAATCGGCATTGCTTTTACCGTGGCATTTTCTATTCAGTTTTTCCTTTCYATGGTTGGGAACTCTCTTATCGTATGGATTGTGTACAGRGATAATCGATTGAAAACAACCACCAACTTCCTAGTTGCAAACATGGCTGTCAGCGATCTATTCTCAGCAATAGCGCTGTTCCCACGGCGTATTGTGGACATAAACTACAATCGATGGCTAGTTGATGGGGTTATTGGGAGTGCTTTGTGTAAATTCCGTAAATTTACCGTTGAAACGTCATTTAGCGTTTCTGTGTATTCCTGTGTCCTTATAGCAGTTGATCGATATTACGCTGTTGCTCATCCTATGAGGAGACCTTTCCAGCCTAAGATAAAATACCTAATCGCTCTTGGATGGATATTGTCGATACTCTTAAAGTCACCACACTTGTATTACTTCAGTACGTGGTCGGTGGGTGTAAACACGAAATGTGGTGTCCCTACAGAGCTCCACGCATCACATAAGAAGTACTATATCTTTGTAACTTTGTCCATTGGTTTGCCAGCCCCAGTTATTACCATTATTTACATCTTAATCCTTTGGAAAATTTACAAACATAAAGTTCCTGGACAGCAGACCAGCGAGGTGATACGAAAAAGAGAAAAACAGAACCAAAAAGTATTAAAAATGTCCATAACTATTGTGATTTTGCTGTATATCAGCTTCGGGATTCGTTTTGTTGTTAATATTGTGCTTAGAACAAAACCTATTGATTGGTCACAGTTAAAAATAGAAATTTGGAAACATGTTTCTATCTTCATGYTGTGTATGAGCTTAGTTTGTAACTTCTTCATCTATTTAATCTTTAATAACWTTTATCGAGAGAACATTAAAGCCATTATAACAAAGTGTTGGCCAGCTTTTCGCTGTAAAGATGATGGTAAAACTAATCCTAGAGTAGCARTCTTGGAAATGATAGAAATRCATGACAATGTCCACCATAACGACACTTCATCCWCGACACGGCGAATGTAAAGATTGTTGCTGCTTGTGAAAAGGACAYGGACCAACAATATTAACGCCACGACTGAGAACACTAGTCATTSAAGAATCCAACAAACATTCAGTTTATACTAAACTATACTATGTGTACAATGAAGGACGATCGTAATAATAAAAAACACGAGTTTTAATTCACTGTCGTCGTGTTTATTAGTTTTTATTTAATTTCATGGAGACAATGACATTTATGTTTATATTATACCGCTGTGAAGAATTTTTTAATCAAAGATTGGACAGATCAAAGATTGGACATAATGCTTAATGTTTGTCATTTTTTTAGTGAGGGTCTCCCTCTTTTCTTTGTATGGCCGCAATAAATTAATTAAAAAAGAAAAGAAAGGAAACCACAATTTAATATCGATGTCAATTCGGGCTATCAGGTGGTCATTATTCTCTGTATTAAGGATATTAATTCATTATTGCTCAACAGATCCCATTCCTCCTAAAATCACAACTTCAAAAACACGACTTGAGCAGCTTGACAGTCAAGACCCAGTTTACGCACGGATCGGTAGCACTCTTAGAATCCTATCCGACACTTCTGTGTCATTGAAATGTCAAGCATCAGGTCTACCTAAACCTGAAGTAGCCTGGACACTACCCAACATTCCAGTGACGTCAGAGGGTCACGTGACATTTGACAATGACACGTTGAAGATTGTAAAGGCGGGAAAAGATTATAGTGGGACGTACACGTGTAAAGCGACCAACCTTGTTGGGATGACTACCGCTAGCTCTACTATTACTGTGGATGGTATGTTGTTGATAYTGCAAGACAGATCAAAATAACAGCTTCATTCTTTMCTGCTTTATTTTCTYTCGCAGAGGTCAGTGGTCCTTCCATCGAAGCATCTTCACAAGTCTTTAACACCATACAAAGCACCAAGCCTGTCAGTATCATGATTGGRTCCAACCTTACAGCACTTTCCACAACAGATATTGCTATCCAATGCTCTGCCACCGGGGTTCCTGTRCCTGTGACGTCATTTTTCAAAGATGGCGGTATYATCAATGAAGATCACGTGRTTGTACAGGGTTCAAAGCTTGTAATTACAAAAGCGCGTTTCACTGATGGAGGAGAGTATACTTGTAGAGCAAGGAGCTTGTCTGGGGACGTGACAGTGTCTTCACATGTTACTATCATCGGTAAGTTGTGACACACAATATGTCACACAATATGTCACACAATATGTCACACAATATATCACACAATATGTCACACAATATGTCACACAATATGTCACACAATATATCACACAATATGTCACACAATATGTCACACAATATGTCACACAATATGTCACACAATATGTCACACAATATGTCACACAATATGTCACACAATATGTCCTGATTTTTTATTAACAGACAACAAAAACCTTTCATATCGACCATGACTTGTTGTCCGTATTCATGAGGTAACTATATATCTTTTAGCTGGACAAAAACCTCTCATATCGACCAGCGAAGAAGTGGAGTCACACCTCGAAGGCTTCACTAACTTAACGACAACTGTTGGTGCCTCCGTGTCCATTCTCACAGGGTCTGGTATCAGACTTCTGTGTCCTGTTAAGGGGGTTCCAAAGCCTGTTGTTACGTGGAGGRTTGATTCAAGGGCAAGAAGTAACCGTGCTGTATTTGATAAGATGTCGAATTCRTTAACTATTCCTAAACTTCGTGCTGAGGAYTATGGAAACTATATTTGCATTGCTAAGAGCATCCTTGGACAAACCAGTGCCTTGAGTGCTGTCAACGTTATTGGTATGTGAATAACAAGGAAATGAACTTAATAAATTMTTAGTTTTTTCTTTTAGATAATTACTTCTCCTTTCTGTTTGTGACCTGCTTCCATGCTCGCTTGCTTGTCCGTATTCGTGCTTCCTCCTTCCCTGCCTCCCTGCCTCCCTCCTCCCTCCCTGCCTCCCTGCCTCCCTGCCTCCCTGCCTCCCTGCCTCCCTGCCTCCCTCCCTGCCTCCCTGTCTCCCTGCCTCCCTCCTCCCTGCCTCCCTCCCTCCTCCCTCCCTCCCTCTCTGCCTCCCTCCCTTCCTACCTCCCTTACTCCACTTTGTGTCTTGGTCGGTGTTTTTCCTGGCATTTTGTTTTCTTAACACTGTTTGTCTTCAAGTAAACATTTATGATTGCAGACCCGTTTGGACCTGAAATCGACTCATCAAAACAATCCATCGCAGTTCTCAAGGTAGATGTMCCCGCCAAAGTTCGTATCGGCGCACGAGTGACAGTTCTATCTGGAGTTACATTATCGATAATTTGTAAAACGTCTGGMCTCCCTCGCCCTAAAATTACATGGACATTAAATGGACAGACGTTAGACACTAAGAATCACGTCACAATCAAGGGGGATTCCCTGGAGATTGTAAACTCAGGTGCGGAAGATAGTGGGGAATATAGGTGTACTGCTTCCAGTGCTATGGGAGAAGATACTGCTAAGACTGTTTTGACAGTTCAAAGTGAGTAAGAT